GACGATAAATGCGAAGAGAAAAAGAAAAAACCAAAAGTAAGCTTAAGCAAAAGAATTTCAAAATAAATTTCATACATGTAATAACAAAACATTTAAGAACTTAACATTTGCTTTTAGGTACGTTTAGAAATGCATATGGAACAATATTTTGTTGACTGCAACGACGCTTATGTTTGGATATATGAACCCATTCCCATATACTACTGGTTTTTTGGAACACTAGTAGTTTTAGGTGCAATTGGTGTTTGTCTTTTCCCATTGTGGCCTTTAACAATTCGCCATGGTGTATATTACATAAGCGTTGCAGCTGCTGGGTTCCTTATATTCATTTTGGCATTAGCAATTATTAGATTAATTGTATTTTGTCTTCTGTGGGTTCCAACACTTGGCAGATGTCATCTCTGGCTTTTCCCTAATTTAACAGCGGACGTTGGATTCTTCGCTTCATTCTGGCCACTTTATCAGGTATATATTACGTTCGGATTGTTTATTGCACGATGAATGTATTTTATGTAATAATTTCTTTCTAGTATGAATACTACGGTAGTACATCTGAAAACGATAAAAAAGTTAGAAAGAAGAAAAAGAAAGAAAAAGATTCTGATACTGAAGAAACACAAGTGTAAGTTGCACTTAATTACAATTTATACTTATCTTTCATTGATACGTTGACATTTACATTTAAATACTTTTTTTTAGAGATGAGAAACCTAGTAGCAGAGAATTAGATAAAGATCATACTGAAGATGCTTCATCTAGTGAAGAAAAGCTTTCCTCACCTGAATTAATGGAAGGTGAAGAAGGTAGTGAAGGTTCGGAAAGTGAGAAATCTAACACTGGTAAAGATTTTGTAATGGTTTAGAAAACCAACTCTTGGCAATAAATAAATTTTGTTCATGTTTACTAAATGTCATTAATCGAAAATTGACTTTTTGTCAATGCTGATTAATGACATCACTGAATCATGTATAAGTATTTATGTGAAACTGAAGTACATAACGA